GTTGAGGCTGAAGAATTACTGTAAATACTCTCAGATAAATTAACAAAACTGCTCTCTCTGAAAATGACTGTCATTCCCCATTATTGTCAAAGGCAATTGAGACCAAAGGCTGCCTTAATTAAGATCCTTTCTTCAAAGTGGCCACTGCCTACTATTTTTCCCAATCGGATTGCTGCAAGGCTGCCTCTAAGGAAGAAGGTAGTCCCCAAGTTGTCAGAAGGCAAAGAGAAGCACTGTGATGATCAAGTAAACAAAGAGTGTGGCCATCTTTTGCTATGAAAACAACCTGTGGTCCCAATCCTTTTAGGAACAATAGGAGACGGCAGCCATTTTGAAAAAGAGAACAATTCTTTATGTAATTCTTTAATGAACATTATTCAGGCTCTGCTGAAAGAGAAACTTACGTAAACAGAATAATGTCAAAAAATGATCATTAATCTTAAAACACAACTTTGAATGTAGCCTATGCAAAACATTTCAGTGGACTTTAAGTATCAGGGAAGCTTGAAGAGTATGTATTATTCTGTTATTCAGATCATTTGGGACAAAAAAAATCCCACTGATATTGGGCGCTAAATTTTTTAAATGACCGACTTTTAGATTAATTTTAACTGAAACTAATTATTTATTTGTAAATTCTCCTAAGAATTATTCTGTACTCAAAAAGTGCTGTAATTTTGAAGAGGAGCCATGACAATTACACCCATAATATCACAAGTGAAATTCTCTCATAAAAGGCCCTGACTATTATACAGGGGACAAAAGCCTTACAAAATAACATTACACGCATTTTTTACTATGCCTATTTGCTTTTAATTATCTTCAAATACTCTAAATTAATCACTATTGCACCCTACAAAAAAGTGGATGCTGCTGAAATCCATGTTGCCTGCTGCATAATCCAACAGTCATTACAATAGAAACATTCCTTAAAGTGCATCTGAGCTTCAAATTTTATTCAGAAAAACAGATTAGAAAATGACTAGTAATTGCAAAAATAGCAGGGTACCTATAAAAATCGAAGTGATTCGTACAGAAACTAGTGACAGGAGGATCTCAGGACTTTCAGGTCAGATAAGTACCCACAAGTTTGGATGCTTAACTGAACCTCGTGGACTGCAAAATCGGTATACGTCTCATGAAAATAGTCTCCTGTGCTACTTCAGCACTACCCCTTCTGATCCAAACCAGGACGTGCAAAAGTGCAATAAAAGTTCCCGGCCAATGGGAGCTGCAGCGCTGGTGCTTTGGGGCTGCGCAGAGCCTCCCTGGCCTAGGAGCTCAGAGGACCATGTCGCCGCTTCTGGGAGCTGCCTGAGGTGAGCACTGCATGGTGCCCACACCCCCCTCCCATGCACCAGGACTTTTAATGGCCCAGTCAGCAGTGTATACAGCTTTATCCAGTTAGCTAACACAAATCTAGAAAGCTTAGGCCCTTGCTGCTTAGTCTCAAAATGAACGAAGTAGATCCTGAATTTCCAAATTCAGCTGTTCTAAGTAAGTAGGTCTTAAGAATCCTATGCATATCAAGACTGACAAAAGCTTTTCTTGCCCCAAATCAGGACAGAAAATGGGAATCATATGTAGAGTTCAACACAAATAAGACAGGACTTTAGAACACGATTTTAAAAAAAACCTAAAGCATCATCATTAGGGCCACACTGCACCTCACAAATAAACAGACTTTTCCTACCTCTCAAATTTTATTCTAAACACAAGATTAAACAAGAAAGCAAGAAAAAGCGTGATGGAGAGTAGGTGGAGATGAAAGCTCAGGGAGCACAAGGGGCATAAAAAAGTTCTGCAGTTATTTAGGCATGTAACATGCATGTCTTAGAATTAATGTGGTAAGTTCACTTTTTTTTTTAAACGCCAATTAATTTTAAACATATCTTTGTTTTGGACCTGGAATCAAGGATGTGGGGTGGTATGTGAAAGAAGGGGAAGATGGGGAAGGAAGGAAGATGAAGAGGGACAGATAAAGTGGAGAGAGAAGATGAAAATGCAGTGAAATATGGAAAAAAGAAAAGGAGTACTAGTGGCACCTTAGAGACTAACCAATCTATTTGAGCATAAGCTTTTGTGATGTGGATCACTAATGGTGACCAGAGTCCTAGGAAGTCCAGTATTATGCAAAATTTGAAAGAATGCAGGTTCCAATGGTGAAGGTACAGAAGAGAGTCTGAAAATGCTGTTGGCACTGTGGATGCTGCTGCAGGGCACCTCTGTGGGAGCTGGATGCTCTGGAGATGGCAATGCTACAGAACAAGGAGGACTTAGTGCACAATTCCACAAAGGTGTCAACCTGAGGAAACAGTTAACCAAATGTCCCTGATTTCTCTGGGTAACTTAAAACACTTACTCACAGACTTGGAGACTATCATTTTCACATCCTGGATTTCCTTGTAAGCATCAAGTATTATTTTAACTAACAAGGAGATTGGCAGGATTTTTTTCTCTTAGTTTCTATGAGAAATAAGCAGACAGCTAGAATTCTCTTATTTCCATCTCAGGTATTTTAAGTCTCAGCCACATTCATAACTGCCCACCAAGATCCTGCACAGGAGCAACAGAAACCCCCCCATAAAAGTGGACCAAATTATGCCACTGCCACAGATGCTCTTGCAGACTCTTATTCCTTGGGAAGAGGAAATTTCCTGTCACTGCTGCTCATTTAACAAGGGCATGGTTAGAAATATTTGCTAGAAAAACTGGCTAAAAATAGCTTAACAAAATTTCAATATAAAGCCAAAAATGGAGTTTTCTTCTGCTACTCTGTCCTGCAGCAAGGTGGGAACAGGGAAACAAACGAGGGTGTGTGATTTAGCTGACTAAGAGAAGACAAAACTGAACATATCCATTGGTTGCTAACATGCCTATCAAGAAAAGTCTCAGTCATGGTGATAACAAAGGCACAAAAAAGACACTCATATGCTACCATCATTACTCGGGATGATTAGAGTATTATTCTATCGTCAAGCCTCCTAATATTGTCTCTCATTTTATTTGAATTCAATGTTCTTTCAATAAATAATGGTCAGGCTTATTGACTGAAGCCAGAATTGAATACTGTACCTTTGAGAATCACTTGCAGTACTGGTTAGACTTACATTTCACAGTTCCACAGATTCAAATCTCTTCATTTCACAATCATTCAAGAAAGAGGAAACCTCATACTGTATAAAAAAGTCAGCTATTTTAATGTTGATAGTCAAAAGACTGAAAACCTGTTTAAAGTATAGTTTTCCTGATAAGCAGTAGTAATAGTTTTTAGAAAAAAAGGAAACATTCAGTTCCACTATCTGATTTGAGGATATTAAAACCACTACCATCTTTGCTGAGATCTTCTGCAACCAAACTGGGTAAGTAATAATGACATATTAATTTATAATCCTGCCACAGCTGCACTAATCTTTTGAACCAAGAAAGGCTGATTTTCAAGAGTTTAATACCAGTGCTGAACATTAGTTTCAATAAAAGAAAATCTGAAACCACTTCTCTGAAAACTGTTACAAACATTTAATGTAGGAAACTAGCATTACACAAGCCTCAGAGGAGCTAAGATTGTGCTTTATAGAAAAACTCCTTACACTGAAGACAAGTAGTTCATGTAGTAGAGCAAAGATTAAAGAACAATTTTTTTCCATTACAAGAACTATATCAAGTTTCTTTATATAAAGAGTAAAATAAAATCCCTACATAATAGGAGGCGAATTCTCAAGTCATGAACATACGCAGAAGTTATTTAAGGTATTTATATTATGAATGTTTTTACAGGACACTATTTTATATAGAAGAAGGCTGCAATCATATAACAATGCTGGAAATATCTGCTGAAGTATATATTTAATTTTGCTACTATAATATAACGGTCACACAATACAAAGTTTCTACCAGGATGAGAGACATTCGACCATTATATTGTCTATTTGTAATGAGAGAAGCTCTCTCAAACAGGTAGATTCTTATCAAACAGAAAGAAATACGGCTGCTGAAGTGTGAACACTATCTCCATAATTTGAATATGACAGACAGAAAATTCCTCTTGACAAATAGCATCTAGCGCTACCAAGGCTGTCTGCTGGTATTTCTCTTTCTGACTTGAAACCTGAAGTTCAAATTTTCAGAAAAAAGTATTTTTTAAAATGTTTT